TAGTAGGGGTGATTTGTTAGCCCCTAATGTTGGAACGTGACGAATGTCGGGCAGAACCAATATCAAGGGCTTGTACATTGTCCCTTGACATGGGTTCTTGTGGGTGTTTGCAAGCAATATGCAGAGCTGGGAGTGTGCCTAAGTTGTTGCATAGGACTTAGGTGGGTCAGCTTGACAAGGTGCCTTGAGTGATGACAGGGCAGCCTTGGTTCTGGACGACGGTTGTGGCAAATGATGGCAGGCAGGCACATGGCACTTGACAAAGGCACGCGTGTGGATTAGTGGGACGGCATAGATAAAAAGAGCATTGTCATGAGCTGATTATGTGTGAATCATGGTCCAAAATAAAAGGCAAGGCAGGCTGAATAAAGTGTGGGCGAAGCTTAAACAAATGTGCAAAACACATGACTGGAAGGAAGTGTGATGTGCATGTGCTGTGGAAGTTATGCCATGTGCAATGCACATGAGTCAGTTGGCTTGAAGATTGAAGGTGGGATAATTTCGTGGAAATCATGCACGCCCTATGTAATTTCTTGTAATTGCACTGTAACGGCCATTGACAGCTCTCTTTATGTATGTGTATTTCGTTGGCTAAAGCAAGTAGCATATTAAGAGCCTTCCAACGTGATTCCTTTGTATATTTCATGAGAATAATAAAAGGTTGGGTGTTTTATCCGTAAGTGTTGCATTCTTTTGTTTACAAGTCTGAAAATATTCTAAGTCCTAAAATGTGAGGAAAAAAAAAGTAAGGCTGAGTGGCTTGAGTGTCAGTTGATGCCATGCAGTGCAATTTGCGAAAAATTGGCTCTATAACAACTACTGGACAAAGATTGCACCAGGAAATAACTTGACAAGATTCTTTAACAAAACCTTATTGGCGGAGACTTTTAACATGCATGAAAAAGAATGCCTGAGAAAGTTGTAGATGCACGGTTATGTGTCTAAGTGGAAGATTTTTGGACATATACTATTAACCATGCGTTTAGATATAGTATATTCNTGTTGAAGGTCATCAAGGGATAAGTGTGAGTGTTCGCCCAGAGATTTAGAGTTTGGAGGGTGAGTACGAGTAGGCTATTCTCCATATTTTCCCCTGAAAATGTTATGTGAGTTGATAATAAAGGTAACATAAGTGTATTCCACATTAGGTTGCGCTAGGAGTATGATGTTCCCCGTAACTGTTCCTCATGTACTTTGTGTTTCCATATGTTTATGTCTAAGAAGGTAGTGATAAACGAGGGGTATGAATTGATTTGATTGAACTATATGATCATGGTAATATCTTATATGATGCACTACTAGCAAGAATCATCGTGACTTGACTTCATATGGATTATTGATTGAAATGAAATTATATTCTTGTTGATGAACACCTTTGTGATTACATTAATGGCTGGTAAGGACTATTATGAACACATGATTGTTTGGTTACTATGAAATGACATTCTTGATGGTATGAGGCCATGTGATGGAATTGTGGGTTGTTGTTGTTACCATGAATTGCAATATCCGGTGGAATGTAATTTGTACAGTGGAAATTATTAAAGGTAAAGCCAATGGATAGTTAACTCACGCGAGGTGTCTGTCTGTCATCCTTGCTATGTATGTTTGGGAGTTGATATTATTTCCGAAAATGTGTCATGATAGAGATGGTAAGTTGAGAAGGTCATTAGGAAGGCTGAAAGTGTCATGGAAGGAAAATATTTCTTGCTTGATTGAATATCAATTAGTAATGACTTGAAAGGTGTCATATAGGTGTTTTTCTCTAAAACTGTGTAGTCCATGTTCTGGTATCCCTATGATAAGGTAGTGCTTGTAATACTAAGATTAGTATGGTCGATATATACACTGTGGTGCTCTGTCTAGTTGTGGATGTATTTTTAAGATAATTTTTGTGACTCTCTGGCAGGCGGATAGGCCTAGTTACAAAGGAGACTCTGCCAAAATTTCTGAAAAATTTAGGAGTTAGTCAAAATTTAGAGTCTTGAGGTAGATTAGAAAAGAGATGTGTGATGCTAAAGTGTTTGGGGAAGACTCTACTCCTCATTCGAGGACAAATGATCCTAAGGGGGGGAGAATGTAAAGCCCCGGAAAATTTTGCTAAGTAATTTAGGATTTCGTGGTGTCGCGTAGGCTTATTATATTATTTTTACGTGCTATTGATATGGTGTACATCCATTGGATTTGGTAAATATGTGTATAAGTCTTATGGTAAGTAATTTGGGGTCCAAGGAGAGGCCTAAGTCTAAGAAAAATTGGAAAAGTCCATAATAGTCTAAAATTCCCAATGATCTTGCACTAGTCCCTATTTTGAACGAGCATATCTAAATATCTATAAGTTTTCAGGTTATGGATAACCTATCAAATGAAAGGTTTTCGAGTCTAGTTTCCAACGCTTCAAACCGTTCGTCATTTGGACATTCCTACACAAAGTTATGATCAAATAACCAAAGGCTGGAAAAATGCGATCCTGTGTCAGATATGCGATCGCAAAAACCATTATACGGTCCGCATAACCGATCTGCGATCGCAAATCTGGTCGCAAATTGGACCAGTGTAGCCCAGTTTTGGGCACCAAGTTTTGCAACGCGTTTGCAACCAGCATAGCCATTCTGCGGTCCATTATGCGACCGCAGACCCGAATTTGGAGGGTTAATCTACCTATTTTCATGACCCGACCCCATTTTAATATATAGGCTTTGGGGTGATTTCATGGGCATTCTAGAGAGAGGTGAGAGCATTTTAGAGAGAGGAGGAGGAACCCAACATTCAAATCATCCAATCTTGCATCAATCTTCAAGAATCAAAGAACCCAATCATAAGTTCTTCATCTAAGAGGTAAGGTTCTATACATTACACTTCCCGTAAGTGTTGCATTCTTTTGTTTACAAGTCTGAAAATATTCTAAGTCCTAAAATGTGAGGAAAAAAAAAGTAAGGCTGAGTGGCTTGAGTGTCAGTTGATGCCATGCAGTGCAATTTGCGAAAAATTGGCTCTATAACAACTACTGGACAAAGATTGCACCAGGAAATAACTTGACAAGATTCTTTAACAAAACCTTATTGGCGGAGACTTTTAACATGCATGAAAAAGAATGCCTGAGAAAGTTGTAGATGCACGGTTATGTGTCTAAGTGGAAGATTTTTGGACATATACTATTAACCATGCGTTTAGATATAGTATATTCTAATAATTGTCATGAGTAAAAGTCTAAGTGGGAGATTGTTAGGATATATACTATTAACCATGGGTTTTGTTTGGTTTGGTTTAGATATAGTATTTCATTATGGAATAATTATTATTCAATTTTAATAAAGTTTTAAATAGATCATACAGAAGTCTGTGTCCTTTGCTTATATAGTAGATGATTTAGTGTATAGAGTGTAGCTTATATACGGAAGATTAAATTATCGGTTCTTATAAGTATAAAGTTTGAGTTCACAATCTAATGATGGAATTGGACAAACCATCAGGAATGATTGTAGTACAAGATTAAATATAATTTATCTTGATTATGGGAATGGCTTATTCCGACTTCTTGTACTAGTACATTTTGTATGTATTGAACGAACCAAGTAGAGATAAGTATTTCATACTGACTTGATAAAAAAAATTCTCTAGCCATCAAATGTAGTTATACTCTTAATCTTGATATAATTAATATCAGTTGTGTATATTATTTTTATTTTTATTTTTTAAAAAGCGAGATTCTTTTGTGGGTCAATTTGCCTAATTAATTGGATAATAATAATTTACATTGGCGAAGTAATAGTTAGTTGACGGAATTCATGTCACTGATTAGAGATTGATGATACACCTTTATGAAAGCTTATAAGTTTTCATGTGTAAACACGGCCGATGAATTTTGTATCCGATACATGAAATAAGTTAAGCGAAAGTCTAAAAGAAATAATCAATAAATTAATTGTCAGTAATTTAATTTAATTAATTAGTATATGAATCTTAAAATCGGGAGTTGAATAAGATTTAATGGGTGAATTTCAAAATTTAATAACGAGTGCAATTACGAATTAATAGTGGAATAATTCCTAATTTATTATGGTGGATTTTAATTTCGAAAATTAAAAATTAATTCCATAATTAGAAGCATTAAATTTTATGGTCCCTGTTGTACCTAAATAATAGGAAATAAAGGAATTCTTTTCTTGGTGGAAAAGAAAACTTGACAAGTTTTGAAAAAAGGTTTTAACCCTTAAAACCTGTGTTATAAATACACAAGGTTTTCCACCTAGAGTTAGGAAAGAAAGGGTGACCAAATCTTAGGCCTCCTTTCCTAGAGAATTTTGCCCACACGAAATTGCTATTTCCAGATATTATTTGGGTAACACAGTAGATCACCGTGGAACCTTCGAGAATCGTGATCATGTGGGTGGGGGAGATTCCATTGAGACGATGTAGAATTGAAGGCTCACTTGACTGAAAAATTGTGTTCTCGCTTCGAGATGTAACCCGTAAAACTCCGTTGTCTAGTAGTCTAGATTACATGTAATTTTGATATTGGGATTGCTTCCGCTACTTATAATAATCAATCAACTATAAGTATGATATGCTTATTAACAAATAAATCCCATATATCACAAGACGGCGTGTTCAATGAAGCCACGCGATATGAACTATGATGTATCACATCTAAAAATGCAAAGTAAGCATCCAGAGCATAATTTTACATGTAAAAATGCAAAATAAGGATCCAGAGTATAATTTTACAAGAGTAGCATAGAATCTGGAATCAACATGCACTTTTGATCAAGTCACATCTTTTGTTCCTAGCAGCTATGGTCTAGTGGAACTCTGAAATTTGTTAACATCAAGTGTAGATCAAGTCACATATTTGGTTCGTCTAGTGGAATCTCAAGTGGAATGCAAAAGAGTGGGCCACTTGCAGGAACTTCCAAAAACTTTTGCAGCATTGTTCGCCCTACTAAAATTGGGAACGTCATTTTGGCAATGCAAGTTTTCAAGTAAAAAAACATACATGGTTAAACACACAACCCACTTCAAGCAGTTAAGCATATCTCAGGAACAAAACAAAACTGTTTCTCTAAACTTCCATAGGTAAAAGCTCATGAAACCTTTCTTTTCGGAATACATAATAAAACACCAAAGAAAGAAAATACAGCTACAAATCCAAAAAACATTAGGTACCTATCAGGGAGAAAGAACATCTAGAAAGGTACATAGAAGGTTTGGAACAAGAATGACATCCATTCAGCTGGTAACGTAGTCGTCTATAAGATAAACTTTGTACCACATTTTCAGACACGATATGCTTTCACTCCTCGACAGTAATCCTCAAGATCTCACTTTATAAACTGACGTTATCCTCTGTCAACTTACTCACAGTCAAGTTATATGCCCTCAATAAATCACAAGTATTCTGTACAAAATAATCACGCAGCTTCCTAATATGAACAACCTAATCCAAGATCCAGTGTTACAGTTAGCTAATATCACCTCACTCATTTTCCAACCAAGTGAACAGTTACAGTTTCTTGGGGAAGTTGTAGTTCTTCTTTAGAAACTTAGTTGCCATTTTATCATTTCGATAACACAGAACGCGCATAATGGTGCTGGGCTCGGTAGGACTCCAGTTACCTGATGTAGGAGGCAAGGGAAGTCTGGATTTAGCTGACGGGGCAAAATTATCTTGAACTGCATGCTCAAATTGCTCAATTAGAATAGCAGTATCAGTGTGGAAAAGAGGAAGAATGCCTTTCAAAGTAGTTGAAAACTTGTCTATAAGGTCAGCTGGCAATCCATCCCCATCCGACCAGAATAGATCCATTAGGAACTTCAAATCTTCATCAATAATTGCAGCATCAGCCAGTAAAAAAGAACGAGAAGGTCCTCCGGCCAGCAAAACAAACAGGAATCCATCAAAAGAGGCTTTCATTACTTTAGTGATTACACGTGTCCGGACCCTGTCATGAACTGTTGCTGATATGATCTCAAGGATTTCCTCCAGCTCCTGTAGGAAAGGTTCAATTCGGGATGATGAAACATCCCCTACATACAGGTAATCCCAGAAGACATGACTCAACTCATGGAAGATGACTCTATATGCAATTGCCTCAGAAAGCTGCTGAATCCCTTCCAGACAAGCAGCTGCTGACAGCTCAAAACCTTTGCCCAACACATTAACAAGATTATCATCATGAACACGTATATTATCCCTCAGTTGGGAAATTGTCCTTTTCTCTAGCACATCTAATTCTTTTCGTATGCAGTGCAAAGTATTAATACGGACACACAACTGAGGTATACTGAAAGAATCATCTCCATTAGTGGTCCCATTATGAGATTTCTTAAGCAAAACCATAGCCGGCCTCTCTTTCTTCCTGAACACACTAAACTTTGACCCAGCTGAGCATCTAGTCAAAGCAGGCATAGTTGGAACAAAGGTACTTCGGCATCCTGCAACCACACCAGATATTAATGGTCTATAACGTAACTGTTACACCATTTTATACTTTGAAGCCAAATTAATATTTACCACAGCCAGATATAGCCTCCAATATGTAGTTCTGAAGGCAACCATCAAGGCCATTCATTAACTCTGGAAGCAAAGCTGGATGCATAGGTATTGGTAACAAAAAAAATGCTTCGAAAGTCTCATCTATGCTGCGTAGGACCTCCACTCCAGAGGGAGCAAATCGCTCTTTATTTGCATGAGGGTTCCAGACCTACAAAAGAAGGCAAAAGGTCAGGTGATGTTGTACTACTTAGCTGTGTGTTTAAGGTTTGTATACAGCATGACCAAGCAGCGCGGGCAGACCATATTCATTTTCCTTTTCCAAATTCAGGCGATGTTTCTTCCTTTATACGTTGACTTCTTTAATGATGTCGGGCCTAAATCTTTGCATTGACTACTTGAATCATCTGAAATAAAAGGCAGCCCGGTGCACAAGGTATCCCGCGTTCCTCGGACCCTACTTGAAAGCAGGATGCCTTGTGCACCGGGCTGCCCTTCAATTTCAGATGATTCAAGTAGTCAATGTAAAGATTTAGGTCAGACATCATTAAAGAAGTCAACATATAAAGGAAGCAACAGCACTATCACCTCCACACATTTCAAGCTCAAAAAGAGTTTGTGTGATTAACAAGTGTTGTTCGACAAAAGAAGTATCACACTTTAAACCTCTCCAATTAACAATACCATGAAGAGGTCTTACAAAAATATTCGCTAATCGATGCCATTAGATCCCAGGAGGTGGGGGTGGGGGAATGAGAGCCAAAAACAAAGATGAGACAGATCCCATTAATTTTCTCCCTTTAGGATTGGGAGGCAGCTTCCAGGCATACCAATTGAGTGAAGGAAAATCTAAGACTAGCAGATAAGACACAAATTACAGATTAGGTGTATAATACTGGGTAGACTTGACAGTTGAATGCTATACTTTTGTTGAAGGAAACAGGCTCGCCCTCTTCCCTTTTGTGCTATCACTCAAGGGGTAGTGTCAAAACATTAGGGAATTACAGGAAAAGAATTTCACAATCTGAAAGAAATATTTTCAACAACGTAATCCCAAATCCTTCAGCTTCTTAATGCCGAATATGATGATAGAGTGTTTAGCACAATGGTGATGGTCCATGGCACCAGACATTAGTACAAGCCAGCAACTGATCACTAAAATAAAGAAACAAGAGAAGGAAACACACCTCTTGTTGCAGATTCCTGTTGACCCATTCCTTAAGTCTGTCTATTCTAGTCCTTATCCATGATTTGACCAGGTTTGCTATCACAGCTTCAGCTTCATAAGGAGTCATCTCTTTAATTAATGACTTTCCTCCATCTTCACTGTCAACAGCGTCCGCAACAGCCATCTGTACAAGATCTTTCTCCAGCTTGTCAGCTGCTATCAACACCTGTAGAGCATCCGGAGTCAACTCACTTATCCCCGAAACAAATTTCTTCAGCTCACTTCCATAGCAAGCATGAAGTGCAGCAACAGCTACACCAGTTGCAATAGGGTGCCATCTCTTCAGAACAGCACTATATATTTCCTTCTCATTGAAAGCCAGATCAGTAACATTTTGGGCCAGGATAGAAAGGATGGGAAGTGAATTCTGCTGTTTTTTAGAGGACTTTCTGCTTGATATCAACCTCTCCTTTTCCTGTCTTTAGGCAGAGTAGGCAGAGTAAGTCACTTTTTCCATCAATGGAGCAAGAATTAACTTGGACCAAATCATGAAAGTTAGAAGGATTAAATAAACTCCAGAAATAAATGGGAAAAGTTCGAAAATGCCAGGGAAAACTAAAGCTAGAAAGATTCAAATGCATTTCAGGGGCAGAAGATAGTTTTAATTTGCAATCTGTGAGAAGGAGAGTGAAATACATTCAGCACGTAAAAGTAGATTATCAGTATCCTTATGAAGCTCTACACTACCAGGAACTACTTTCTCTGAGAGTGGAAAAAACTCTCGCTTCAAGTCAGGGGGTATCTGAGATGAGAAATATAGATAAAGTACCAACGGCGTCATTCTAGATTCCTGAGAAAAAGGGCAGGAAAACACTGAACTCCCCCTTAAATTAGTAATGCAAATTGGAGTTCTTAATATGATGTTTGTACTACATGGTGAGGTTAAGTAAACTGCAAAGACCAACTTGCCTGAGAAAAGGCGCTGAGCATCGAAGCCCTGATGTAAGTATCAACGCTGCTAAATTCAACATCAACCTCTTTCTTCTTCTTCTGATAGTTGCTCGAATTGTGTTCGACCAAAATTTTGGTAGCTGATAAACCCATAGAGAGAAGACTTTGCATGATATCAACATTGTCCCTGTAAAAGCTGTCATGGTATGCAAGCAGCCTTTTCTCAGCCCAACCTAGGATCAAGCCAAGCAGAGAACTCAAGGTCTGAGAGCAACTTGGGTGTTTTACTGCCTTGGCATCATTTGCTACCTCCGATAACAGATTATCAGCGGCAAATAGCAGGTCGTTTTCAACTTGGCTGGTTGAAACATATCGATGAAATAAAACCCATGAAAAGCAAATATTATGGAATATCTGGTCTATATCAAGTATTACCCAAGTCTTTTTTATGATTTCTAAGACCTCATCAATTTCTTCAATAACAGAGGTCTGATCGTTCACATCAAAACAAGCTTCAAGCAATATTTGGTAGAGTCGGATATTCAATGGAGTGCCATCTGCCCAATGGCATATCTCGGGACTCGACCCATCAAATGATCTGCAAGCAAGGGATGTCGCAAGATTCCTGAGTACTTGCATTGATTCACTGTGCTTCCCCGTATCCATGGGTTTTACCAGAGCCCCATGTATAATATGCTGAAGCTGTCTAGGACGTGTGTCTGTCTCATCCAGAGGCAAGTACGGATGCAAGACAAGTCCAGCCTCAAGTAGTTTCAAGTTTCTCCTCTGCCATACTTCATATTCATGCGGATTTGGAAAATCTGAGGTTTTGAACTGTTGCAAGAGCTCCAGTGGTAGAACCATTGACTCGAGACGTCTTCCAAGCTGGAAAGTACAAGAAACAATCTAACGATTAAGGTGCAGTTTAAAGAACATTCCAGTATTTTTTTATCTATAAATGTGTATCAAACTCACTTAGCAACACATTTTCAATGAATCCCATTTTTCAACCAATCCATGGCACCTATAATCTTGCATACCAGGCCCCGTAGTGTCACTTTCATGAGAGGCACAAGAATGGTAACCTTGATAAGTTATCATGATTCAATTGGATTGGGCCATAACGATACCAAGCTGATTGCAGGTTTATTGTGCCAAGGCAAATGTAATTGGGTGGCCCAAACTTGTCAACTGGGATCAGGAGAGGGGCCAACAGTGAGCAAATTCCAGCCCAAGTGGAAAAATCTTGAAGGAGTTTAATTTGGTGTTTAGTGAACCAACCACTTTACCCCCGGAAAAAACATGTGATCATGCAATTGAGCTATTACCAGGTTCTAAACCTGTTAATCAAAGACCCTATAGGTATTCACACGAGGGAAAGACAACAACAACAACAACAACAACAACAACAACAAAAAACCCAGTGAAATCCCACAAGTGGGGCCTGGGGAGGGTAGTTTGTACGCAGACCTTACCCCTACCATATGAAGGTACAGAGGTTGTTTCCGAAAGACAAGAAGTCCGACCTACCGGATTTGAACCAGTGACCTAAGGATCTAAAGTCCTCCGCTCTACCAACTGAGCTAAGGTCGGTCACACGAGCAGAAAGACATATAGAAAAGAGTATCCGTGAAATGCGGGAAGCAGGGACGGTAACTTCATCTCCCTTTGCATCTCCAGTTTCCTCGTTAAAAAGAAGGATTCATCTTGGAGGATGTGTATAACTATAGGAGGCTCAAAGATACCACAATTAAAAACAAGTACACGATTCCCGTGATGGAAGACTTGCTTGATAAGCTAAATTGAGCTCAAATTTATTCTAAATTGGACCTAAGATCGGGGTATCATCAAATAAGGATGAAGGCGGTTCATGAACACAAAACAGCTTTTAAGGCGCATCATGGGCGGTGGGAGTACACTGTTATGCCGTTTGGGCTTACAAAGGCACTAGCTACCTTTCAGGCCCTAATGCACCACATTTTTGGCCCATATTTAAGAAAGTTTGTTTTGGTCCTTTTTTGACGATATCTTGGTCTACAGTGCTTCATTAGGAGAACATCTAGAACACATAGCATGGTTTTAAGTTGTTAATAGAGCATCAGTTGTTTGCTAAGCGCTCAAAGTGGTCTAAACCTGTTTGCATTAAGGGTCTACGAGGGTTCCCTGGCTTAACAGGTTATTACGACGCTTCATTTAAAATTAAACTGTGATTAGCAAGACCTTAACATTCTTATTGAAAAGGGAGGTTTCGTGTGGAACGATGCTGCTACTAAGGCTGGGCCATGACTCAAGCATCAGTATTAGCTCTGCCAAATTTTACGGAGCTATTTGTTGTTGAAGTAGACGCCAATCGACTAGGCGTCGGGGCAGTGCTTTCTCAGCACAATAGGCTCATCGCTTTTTTGAGCCAAGCCTTGAGCCCAAAGCACTTGGTGTCAACATATGAGTAAGAGCTCATAGCTCTTCTTCTGGCTGTTGAGAAATGGACACTATATCTCCCGCCCAACCACTTTGAGATCCAGACAAACTATTTAAGTCTAAAATTCCTAAGAGACCAACGTATCACACATCATTACAACACAATGGGTAACGAAATTGATGGGATTCAGTTATGAAATACATTATAGGCAGGGGAAAGAAACATTATAGTTGATGCATTGTTCGAAGGGGGAGGAACCAAAGTGGTTCAATCAGACTTAGAATGTTTGGGTCTTAGTGTGACCCACCCCAAATGGGCCTAGGAAGTCCATGAAAGCTACGAAGGAGATAGTGAGGCCAGAAACTAATCACCAAGCTATCTATAGATCCAAAAGCAGTAGCTGAAGTCACATTCCAGTTGGGATTGCTGAGTTTTCAAGGGAAGGTTTTGATTGGAAATTAGAAGAACCTCAGGAACAAACTGGTTTACGACATGCATTCATCAACCTGGGGAGGACATTTAGGAATACATGCAACATATCAAAAGTTAAAATCCATTTTTTATTGGCCAAAAATGATTTAAGGAAGTGAAGACCGTTGTACAAGAATGCGAAATTTGTCAAAGAAACAAAGATGAAAATGAGGCTTACCCCCGATTTTTGCAGCCATTACCATTTCCAGGAGGGCTTGGGAGCACATATCCATGGACATCATTGAGGGTCTACCAAAGTCGCAAGAAAAAGATGTTACTTTGTTGGTGGTAGACTGATATACTAAGTAGGCTCACTTCATAGCTTTGTCTCATCCTTACAATGCTACTCAACTAGCTCAAGCCTTCCTAGATTTTGTGTGCAAACAACATGTAATGCCATGCTTTATAGTGTTGGACAAAGATACCCTTTTTGTAATTTCTTATGGCAAGAGCTTTTTAAAAGCATGCAGGTACAACTCAAATTAAGTTCAGCATATCACCCCTAAACGGATGGGCAAACAAAGAGATTAAACAGATGCCTTGAGTCCTATCTAAGGTGCATGACAGGCCAAACAGAATTTTGGTGTAATTCCAATTTTCAATTGGCAACTGGTATGACCATATTTCAGGCTCTCTATGGATATGAACCTCCTCAGCCACACAATTAACGTGGGAACAGTTGATCAAATGCTAAAGCAAAGACAAATGGTGAACAAGCAATTGAAGGAGAATCTGGTCAAGGCTCAGCTTCGAATGAAACAATATGCAGATAGTTAAAGGAATGAGAGGGTTTTTGAGGTAGGGGATATGGTTTTCATCAAACTACAGCCCTACAGGCAAACATCAGTTGCATTAACGAAGAATCTGAAATTAGCCTCTAAATTCTATGGACCTTACCATGTAGTCAAGAAGATTAGTCCACTGGCATATGAGCTCCAGCTTCCCAGTGAATCCCAAATTCATCTGGTCTTTTACGTGTCCTAACTGAAAAAGAAGCTTGGGCCAAATGTTTTTCCAGCAAAAGATTCGCCCTTGAGCAAACCAGATGGTCAACTTTTGTGCCGAGCCGGGAGCTCGGGTGGTGACCCAAGTGCTGGTTCAGTGGACCAACTTAGCTTCGGAGGATGCTACTTGGGAGGATTATTCCTTCCTCACTTCTCAATTTCCAAAATTTCAACCATGATTGTCGACATTCTCAAAGGGAACGGGAAGTAGCGGAACGGACTATCCGCTCAGCTTGAAATGAATGAAGAAGATGAAAAGAAAGGTCAATGGAGTTGGGCCCAAATCCAGAAATAAGAATAGTTTCATATTATCAGTTTAGCCCCTTAGGTTTTTAGCTATTATGCTTGCCTAAAAAAGTATGGCCTAGCCCTTTAGAATGATAAGTGTCTTGCCAGCTTTTTATCCGTTGGGGAATAGTACTAGGGTATTGATTTATGATTGGATCAGTACACTTCTCCTTAGTACTAATATATAAGGAATTAGTTTAATTTCTATCTTTTGTCAATGAAAACCCCTTTTTAAGACTCTTCTTGCATTTTCTTTACTGCCTTTTTGTCAAACACTACACATACTCATCGTACTGCCCATAAGAATCATTCGTTCTGTTATTCTTAACCTATCAATTATAACCAAGGAAACCAAAAATGTGGTTTCTGAAAGACATCAATAAACTTGTTGGCCATCTTTTAAACGGATATATTAGTGATTAAAAAAAAATTAAAAAAAATCTTGCCGTCATGTGATTATACTGGAAACGATGGACAAAAGAACATCAATTCTATCAAGAAGGACCTGCTTACAATCTGAAATCACGCATACAGTTCAGTTGCTGCAAATTAATCCTTTTATTCCTTTGCTGTTAACCAAGAAGTTTCCAGCCTTGGAACTCCATGGACAATTGGCCCCCTCATCTTCCTTTCTCCACTTAAATACTAGGCTTAGCATTCTATCGTGTGCCTACCACACATCCGGCTTTGGTGAACCATAAGTCCTAGGGTGCTCAATTAATTAAAAGTTTCATTAAGGGTAAAACTGAAAGTGTAAAGTTAATTGTTTCCGTAGAAGTGTGTCATTCTTTTCTAAACATATTATAAGAAGGAAAGTGTGTCAAATAAAATTTTATCAGCAAAGAAAAGATGAACAAAAACCTGGCCAGCAGCTACTCTTAAGAAGGCTCGTCGGACCCTAGAATCAGTGGTCTCCGAAACCCTCATTTGGACCCTCATCAACTCACCCACAGTCGTAGAACCCTTTTTATTCCCACTCACTACTGAGTCCGAATTCTTCTTCCTCGACTTCAGTCCAAGCGCCTTCTTCACCTTACTCGCCGCCGTCGACGTCACCGACCTCTGAAACGACGGCGACAATGACATCATCGACGACGACGATCTCTCAGAACTGGAAACAAACTTCAACGGCCTGCCGGAGGTGGAGCTACGGCAAGCTCCAACCAGGATCTCGTACGCGGTTTCCCGGAGCTCCGATTCCGTCAAGTCCACATCCAATTCGCCAAACGGGTAGGGAAATTCATCGTCGGAGTAGGAGGAGGGTAAAAAGGGAATTTTTGGTTTTTCGTGTAAGTTGTTCGTCGTGCTTTTCTCGTGGTACTTAGTTCTTGATAGACTCTGTGCCGTTGCATCTCTGTGAGCATACGACACCATATCCATGAAGAATCAATACAAGAGATATCAAAGGTGAATTTCTGAGACTCCTCGAATTGATTGTTTTTTTAGCAAAATGAGGTAAGTCTGAATGAAATTAGATCAAAAGATAGGATTTTTAAATTTCTTTTTCTTCTTTCTGTGTTGCTTTTTTTGGATGAATTGTATTCTTGCTTGACTTGAAAGGAATAGATATATAGGGTTACTTGTTTAGCTTTCTAAATCAAAAGACATGCATGAAATTGAGGGGATAAAGGCAGAGAGAGAGATATTTAGAGAGAGAGTAAAGAAAAAGTTGGGTTTTGATGAGGAAGGGAGCTTGAGCTTTTCTGGAAGGAGAAATTGTCAACTGCCTACTGCTTGGTAAATGCGCAGATGCAAGCGCGTTTGGTCAAAGGTTAGTTTAGCCTTTTGAATAGGCATTTGGCGAAGGTTCCACACATATATAGATTAGGGTGTGAGCATGCGTATTGTGTGTTAAAAATGACACCAAAATAGGACAATATGTTACCTTCTTATACCAAGCAAGTGTTTTAAAAGGCGTGGGTATTTTATATATGCTTCAGCGAGGCATAAGTCCCGAGGCACGGGACATAAGCCCTATCGGTATTTAATTTTTAATATTTTATAAAATAATATAATTACAGTAAATATATATAAATAGATAAAATTACATAAAAATTGAAGAAAACTATAAATATGTGAAAAATATATATAGTTGTGCTCTATCCCAACAAAAAACTAGTCAAAATAATTTATTATACGCTACATACAAGCACAAGTAACTTGAGTTGAAAAGAATAAAGTTTTCTACATAAAAGAATAAAAAGTATGACTAACCAAGCTATTTGAACTTTGAACTTGCTGATATGAAGGAGAGTGGAGTTCTTTTTGTATTTGCAAAAAAAAAAAAAAAAAAAAAAAAAAAAAAAAAAAAAAATTGACTATTTGTTCCTTTTGGGAGATAGTAGCAGACTAGCGGAGAAGATAATGAATTGGAAAGACCATAAATTAGGGCTTCTATCTATAAAAAAAAGGTCTTGGCTTTTAAATTTTATATTTCAGTTCCTTTTTATAACTTTTGAGTAATTATAAGTTGACTTTATAAAATTGGGTAGTATATGAATGACTTATTCGGCAAATTTCATTTTAATTTGAAAAAATTGCTGGAGCTTACGTCTCACTACAAAAATGCACCTTAAAAGCCCGGGCGTATACCCCGAATTGCAAGGCGTACGCCTCTTGAAACTTTCGCCCTACATCATCGCCTAGGGACATTTTGGTGCGCCTCGGCCCAAAAATGCCTTTTTAAAACAGTGATACAAAGTACTATATATTGATGAGAATTGAGATTCAAAATTCAAATTAGGACTTGTCATCGTAGTTTCTGAAATCTTGACTATTTGCAATTAATGTAGCATCCAACTAGAACGGCTTATTCAAGCTAAATATGCTGTCTCCATAGGCAACTTGCAAAACCCATCTCCACTGCATCGAACATCATGCCAGAGTTGCTTCGCCTTACTGCACGAACTTAAAATAGTTCGTCACCAGGGACTGACGTTTTTGGAAATTCTAGTAGGCTTCAAAGAGGTAATTGATCACGCCCAACTTTAGTCCTAAAAAGGATAAGCGGTCGCTGTAAATATAATTCGGTCTAAAAGTCCGAAGTCGAATCCCACAGAGAACTAAGGCTTAGCTGTATCTGTTTAATATCACCAAGAAGACAAGATTGAAAATAAATAAACAGCTGAAAACTAACTATGCTTGATTTGTAAACATTCTCCATTGACTGCAATTGTGTACTGTGTAGTTGTGATGCAAGCCATTATCCACTTTATAAACTTATGAGGGAAATTCAATGAATGCATCATTTCTTCCATAAACCCCCACTCCACAGTATCATATGCCTTTCTTAGGTCTACTTTGATCAAACAACTCTTGGTTGTATTCTTCCTTTTGTACAATCTCACCAAGTCTTGGCAGATCAATATGTTATGAAAAATATTCCTGCCTTCCGCAAAGGCACTTTGATTAGGGGATATAAGCCCAGGTAGGACTTTCCTGAGCCTATTGCATAGCATTTTTGAAATCACCTTATAGATTGTGTTGCAACAAGCTATAGGTCTGTAGTCTCCAACTGCTTCAGCATGAGGGCTTTTTGGTATGAGAGTAATCACAGTGTTGTTGATGGCTTTGAGCATCTTGCCTTCTTTGAAAAAATTTCCAGCACTCCCTCTTTTACATCTGAACCTACAACTTCNACCAAAACCATAGATTAGAAAAGTTAGCTACTCATGAAAATAACAAAAATCACAAAAGAATTCATATTCAAAGGTAAAAGAACAAAGAAGAAGATTAAAGATCGATGCCCAATGATCCTCCTTGCCTCTTGCCCTTCCTTCTAATGTTTTTTCACTTCCAAAAATCATTCATCTCTTTTCTTGGCCAGCTTCCTTCGTTTAATATAGGGTTTAGGGCTTAAAATCCCGTGTTTTGCACTTTGGTCCCTGAATTTTACGCGTCCTGCCGCGGTCCTACCGCGGTTACGCCCAGAGCGCGGCCAGAGTGGCCTTCAGAATCTGCAGCAGTGTTCTGCCGCGGTCCTACCGCGGTTACGCCCTGTTCCGTTTGGAATTTGGAAAAACATAAAACATGAAAGTGGTAGCCCTTTGCGTTAGCTTTCCAACCATATATTGTGGAGTCCAAATGGAGTTTTGAGCAAAAAGTTATGTCTATTTTACTAGACAGTGCGCAATATGCCTCCTCGAGTCTTCGTTCGTACTTAATTATCAAATTTGACCCCCGAATACGATCCCGGCTTAATTCCTTGGGCTTTTACTTAGACTTCAAAGCTCCAAATCACTTGAATTCATTCCATAACATCTATATAGCTCGAAATCACTCCTACAAGGCATAAAACACACCGTTAGTGCAAAATACTAGCGATTAAAGCGCAAACTCAACTAAAGTGCAGTAAATTAGAGTGTAATAAGCGACTAAAATATGTAATTATGGCCTATCATCAGTAATTAATCTAATCTAATGGGAATTCACATTATTCGAACATTTTCCTAACTGTAGACCACTTCTCTGCAAGCTCGGAGATTCATTGAGAATAGTTACAGGGAACATAACAAGCTTGATAACCAGCAAGCTATATATAAAAGGATGGAGTCTACTTCCATAAAACATTTCGTAATTCCTCCTATACGTTTGTCTCAGAGATTTTGGAAGCATAAAAATTTGAAATGGATCTAGGATTTGAATTTTATAATTAAATTTTAGATTTTAGGACAATGACATCAAGTGTTATTAACTGGATTTTAATTTTAATTTTTGTATACGGTAAAATCGGTTTATACTAAATGCATGAATGATAGCGTGACACGTGGAACCGGAGGTAGACGGAAGATGAAGCGAGTAAAAATCAAGACCGAGGACAACAACTTCAGTTGGTACCGGGTAGATCTTGAGGGGAACACAGTCAACGGAAGCAATCGAATATTTGTCACCAGATGACATTTAGTGAAGAATATTCCTCAGTATTGAATATACAGCCGTCGCAGAGAATAATGGCATTCATGGCCTGCCGTTACATATTCATCAATGACCCCTATTATTGTCATTTAAGAGTGGCTTGATCTTAGGGCCTTGTTTCCTAGGTATAGCTATAAATAGTAGCTTCAACAACCATTGTAACACACGAAATCTCTGGCAAAACTTATGCTACACATTATTCTCGAGCTAAATAACACTTTACTTTTGTCTAACACGACTCTTATCATTGTCTTCGGAAGCCCTACTCCCGGAATCAGGCTACTTGCTGTTTATTTCGATTTCAACACTAAGTCATGTACTTTTCATTTAATTTATTTATCATTTTGGGATCAAATCGATTCGCTTGTCTATAAACCACGCTATAAATTCAACTATACCGTTTTACGGGTAAACAGTTTCGCGCCCACTGTGGGGCTTAGACAACTATGTAATTGAATTGATCCTTGCATCTATTACTAACTTGTTTGATTCTTTGTTTCATAGCAAAATTCGTAAAAACAATGGCAGCTAACGATGTCAACATCACACACCACGTTGAGGCGCAAGAAAATCTACCTCAACACGAGGATTCGATAAGTGACACCCGCAACGAGGAGGATGTAGAAACTCCGGTCCATGGTGGGCGATATCCCCGACATGTACGGGAGATAACTCTTGATGATGCTGAGGACGAGCATGTTGCGGAAACAGTAAGGATCGTGAGGGAGCTGTAAAAGGCCATCATAGGCCATCTCTTAAGGCAAAACCAAGCCATGACAGAACTGAAGCATGCGTTGTCGGGTGCTTCCAACAACACGAATGGAAGAGGTTATGTTCCTCCCGGTGCTACCGCAAATCAAATAGCTCAAATAGTTAATAACAACACCCCGAGTGGTGAGGTCGGCTTCGATGGAGCCGAGGGATCGGCAACG